ATTTCTAGGAATTGCATAGAACTCGACCTTCCCAAACTACCGTACAATTTCGTGGTCCAATGCCCGATATCGAAAGCCTCATGCAAGAATTTCATTCAAACTTTGAGCACTGCCTGGATGGAGTGAAGGTAAGTATGTAGTAAGTGAGAGCTTTGATTGACTTTGAATGGCTCATGTTTTACCCATCAATCATCAATTCAACCTATCAATCCTTAAAGTCAGTTCCCCTTCAGAATATTTCCATTTTTTTCAGTAATTTCTCTTCATTCAGTTACCCACAGCCGAACTGGATGTTGATCTCGAAGAGTATACAGATATTTGCCTCGGTCTGCTCGATATCCCAATCTCAAAAAGCCGTATTCAGTCGCTTCACTGCTTCTTCTCGCTGTATAGGGAGTTCAAAAGTTCTCAGCACTTCAAAAACTTGGCAACAGAAAAGCGAGATAATATTGACAGAATGGAGCTATAAGTTTTAGATGTGGTGTGGTCGTCAGAAACGATCTTCTATACTGTGATAGAGCTAGTTTACATATTTAGTTTAGACGAGCGAATATTTTGACGACCCTTCACAAAAAATCACGGAATAGAAGCCAGCCATAAATGTACTACATGTTGAGTTGTTTCGTTTTCCGGCTGATTGTAATCCTATGTATACAAATGAAGATGTACTCTATTTAATGGCGGTTTGAACTGGTGCAACTGCTTTATCTTGGTACAAATGAGTGAAGCAGCAAATCTATCACAGCTTGCTGGCATCATCATCGATTCACAGGAAACCCTTCGAAAACTTTGACTGCATGGCTCGTAGGTCAACCCGTTAGGTGGCGCGCCCTGCAAAAGATGATCTAGTGATCTGAATGGGGCGATGAAGGATCACCGTGTTATTGCTATCGAAAAGGTTTGGAAATTTTGAGTTGTTCCTTGGTTTCTTCATAGGAGGAGTTTATTGTTGTAGCCTGAAAACTCTTCTGGTATGGCGACATGAGATCAGTTGAAAAAGTCGTCAAAGAATAAGGGGTATTGTTGTGGCTTTGTGCTGGGCTCAAGAGTGGCAAGAAACCTTACCGTCTACATGACTTGAAATTTCGATTTTGAAGTCAGTCACTAAGTGATAATGAAGTTTGTTATGCATATTTGTGCTGGAACATTGAGTTAGTGTAGTGCTACAAGTAACGCGATTGCAATTTATTAGGTTGGCCCATAAGTCTTGCAACAAACTGGCTGAATTTTGAATTTAATATTTTTATTATCTTTTTGTTCCATTCATCCAGCATGCTACACACCATCAATATCTACAACCTATTGCCAACGCACTAGAAGCTGTTCGATGCCTCTCTTGTAGAACTCTACTGAATTCTGATCGAAGAAAGATCAGATGTCGATTTTGACATCATGATGGTTAGGATGAGATTTCTTCTCTAGGAGTGGTCTGGAGAGGGAAGCAGGTGGGCATTTTTGGTCAGCGCTATAAGGTGGACACAAGCGCGTCATAGAAAAGCGA